ATGTCGTAGTGACGTAATTTTTGGATGACGTAGTCAGATGGGGGTTAGGATTGACATATCAAAATTGCTATGCTACGCCCACTAGAAGTACGTTAGGTACGAAACTACACGAGACCCAAATTCGTTTTGATACACCAACTGGAAGTACTTGTGGTACTAAACTATACTAGACCCGAGAAATGGCTGTTCGATTTCGGGTTCTCGTCTGCACGTCTTGGATGACAGTTCGCATAGTTTGAAGGACTTTATTACATCACTGTGACGTCGTAGTGACATAATTTTTGGATGGTGTGGACGTGGTCAGCTGGGGGTTAGGATTGACACATGAAAAAATTGTTATGCTACGCCTACTAGAAGTACGTTAGGTACGAAAGTACATGAGACCCTATTATAGAAAGTCTTACCAATTATTATTGACAGTAAAATTATTCTTTTTAAATGATTCCATATGTAATGGGAAATAAAAACTCAGCATAAATCGGAAGTGGGAAATTGAGATAAAAAGGTTGGGAACCCCTAACTTAGAATGACATAACAATTGCAGTTTTTGCAGCCTCTCAGACAGATGTTCAAGCAGGCTTCGTTTTCATAGTTTTGCGTGTTACAGTGTTAGCCTATTTATTCATTATCTTTTTGTTGAAAGTTCAGATTGTTAAGATATAAGTTTGATATCCAATGATCTTGGTTAGGTATCGTATCGCTAATGTTGATTATTATCAGTCTCAACATTTAGATTTTCCTTTAGTCACATCCAAATAAAAAAAGGCGACAATGACATAACATGTGCTATCGATTAGACTGAACTATGCGTCTGAGGAAGTCTGACCTTGGTCAGACAAAACGCTACAGAAATTGATTTGTGTTAGTCTGCAGCAAGACTATTGAATCACTTAGAATGATATAACAATTGCAGTTTTTGCAGCCTATCAGACAGATGTTCAAGCAGGCTTCGTTTTCAGAGTTTTGCGTGTTACAGTGTTACCTATTTATTATCTTTTCGTTGAAAGTTCAGAATGTTAAGATATAAGTTTGATATCCAACGATCTTGGCTAGGTATCGCTAATGTTGATTATTATCAGTCTCAACATTTAGATTTTCCTTTAGTCACAGCCAAATAAAAAAAAGGCAACAATGACATAACGTGTGCTATCGATTAGGTTGAACTATGCGTCTGAGGAAGTCTGACCTTGGACAGACAAAACGCTACAGAAATTGATTTGTGTTAGTCTGCAGCAAGACTATTGAATCATTTAGAATGACATAACAATTGCAGTTTTTACAGCCGCTCAGACAGTTCAAGCAGGCTTCGTTTTCATAGTTTTGCGTGCTACAGTGTTATTTGTCAGTTTTTAGTTGTCTTTCTAGAAAATAGTTGTATGCCTCAATTCAGTTATTGTCATTTTGCCTTCCGAGGAGCTTTAGTTTGGTTGCGGTAATCAAAATTCTCGCGAATGATGTGTCTGACTAGACTAAAATTATCTATCAGTAGACTTTCTGTGCAAGCGGCATGTGGTTGAATAATTTGAGTAAAAATGACGCCTTCAAACATGTGAACCAGTTTATAATAGCCAACACTCTAACACAATCATAAAAATATTTTCAATGGTAAATATCGGGAGAATTTTTTGAGGTATATATATCGCAAGTTCAAGTATCAACATACACATTTATCTGTCCTAAAGCGGTATACATGGTGTATTCGTATTGTATAAATCTGAATTGAAAAAATAGTGCTGTCCGCTTAATATTTTCTTTTTTTTGACTTTTGGATGTGTTTAAATTTTTTATGTAGATGTCAGCTTGACTGTATTATGTTGGATATACATTCTAATCCTGTCATTCAATAATCCTTTTTAGTTGTAAATCTTTGATCGTGCTGAAGTGGAAATCATCATGATAGCAACCAAAACTACAAATTTCAGTAGGACTTGGCATTTGATGTGGCTCACTAAATCAGTGGTTCCCAACCTTTCTATCCTGGCGGACCGGTAAAATTAAATTAAATGTACTCGCGGACCGGCAAAAAATTGGAATGACCGGTACAGATAATATAATGCAATGTCGGGCACTCAATACGCTTCTAGACAAAAAAGGCACACTTAAAAACATTTCACACGAAGAAAAACTATCAAATAATGTGCCGGCCAAAAATTAAAATGGGTAAAACATAATGTACTACCATCTATTTTCGTAATAAAATGCAGTACTGGGTACCCATTATGCGTAAGAAAAGCACGCATAAACCACTCACATAAAAAAACATGTTCATGCCAAATAATGTATAAACACAATTAACTCTAGTGAGAATTTTGCTGCTGTTTCGTTTCCAATATTGGATTGCAAACGAGGCCTCAAAGAAGTTTCTGCAACACGTAGCTCTGCAGATGCGTGCAGCCGATTTCTTTGCTTCGTTTTAATTTAAGCTAGTGATGGAAATGTTTATTCGCATAACGCAGTAACTGATTGAAAATACGGACAACAGTTTGATTGCTTGATTAGTTAGCGATGAGTATTCGCCATCGAGAGATATCCAAAATTGTGACAGTGATTCTTTCTTAAATCTGGACTGTAAAGTAGAATTACAATTTTAATCAAGATTTTTCTTTTTCATCGGGTTCATCATATTAGTCCCTCTGCAGTTGATCGGCGCCTCAAACGAAATGAATTTACATTGCAATGACAAAGTCGTCGGTGACTTGGCAAGTTAGCACCAGGATCAAAATCCTACTATAGATGTCTGCTCAAAATATTGGAAAAGATCTCTGCGGCCCATGTTTTTTTGCGCGTCTCGTGACCACCTGCAGGGTCGCAACAAGTTCATATTTTTACTGGAATAATATTATACTACTCTTGACTGTTTTCTGGTTTAAACAAAGGAAATATGCATAACGTTTTATATAGATGATCATAATAATCAGGAATATGACGCAGAACAGAAAAAGCACGCGTGTCGATTTTAGATTTTTGAATTTTGCCAGATTTCATGGAGTGCATTCACGATGAATCGGAGCCAAAAAAGCGAAAAGTGTGATTACTCGGCGCCAAGATGTCGCGAAATACGTCACAATATGACGGCGGAAGAGAAATTGCGTAATAAACCAACGCAACCTCGTCTTCGGTAAAGAGATTGAGACAGCATAAAAACAACGAAATTTCTCGCGGACCGGCAAAAAAGCTTCGCGGACCGGCGGTTGGGAACCACTGCACTAAATCAACTGATGGCACTAAATCAGCATATTGCGAACTGTACAAATCCACTATTGTGCTAGGAATTTCAAATTTTGCGATTTTCTGTATGTGTGTGTGGAGTTATCTGCACATTCAGTGCCAATTCGTTTTTGTGTAGGACCTTATTACCGATCAGTCGATCGCGATCTATTTTGAAGATTTTAGTCGATCGAGGTCGAAAGCAGGATGGCCACCCCTGTCCTATAGAGTGATCTAAAAGGACATTGTTATTTATTGTTTTTTTTATTTCGATCGATATTGTTTATTGCAATATTGTTTTTATTTTATAAAAATCCAATAAAAAAAAAAGTGACCAATTCTGGTTCCCCGCGACTTCCCTCCCCCAATTTAGTCATTTGATGTAGCTTGTTTCGTAATCTAACAGAATCTTCATGGCAATATTTAGCAATGTTTACAAGCATGCTTGTTGAATATCTGTCTGAGCGACTGCACAACTTGCATTGTTAACTTATTGCTCATTGCTACGGAAATAAACAAGGAAATCGAATCATGGAAAACATCCATTGGCATTTGTCCAAATCACAATGTTAGTCAAAGTGAATATAACCACCACTTTGACTTTGGTGTTGCTTTGGGTGTTAGTAAGCTCGTCTGCTCGTTGTTGTCACCACAGAGGCCAATCTTTCATTGCTGTATTACAAGCGGTCGTAGCTATACTTTGACAAGATCCATGTTGTTATTGTAATGCACGTTATTTTTGGACGACGTTGTCACGTGGTTAGGCATGGCAGCAGCAAAGTGAGTATAAACCACTTTGGGCATCAGCCAGCATGGCATATTGGTACCACCCCCACTTATTGCACTGGTACCCATGTTATTAGACCCCCTAACCCCCCTTGTCCTCTAAATCCTGATCCTATTCCTGATTCCTATCCCGTTGTATATAGGGAAACAGATTAGGCTAATGATATTATTGAAAAGTTTGTATTTAATGGTAGAAAATGCCTCAAGAATTGATACATTATGTAAAAACAAAATATTAGGAGGATATGACATAAAAAATATTCTTCTTTTCACAATGTGCCTTTATGTCATGACTTCTTATGAATATTACTGTGATAGAATTATTGGTAATATTGAACACTGTAGAGTGTAGACAAACCGTGTATAATTTCATTGAATATAACATAGGGCAACAACTGAGTATTATTTTTAAGATACCAGTAAATAATAGTGTATCACATACCTTTTCTCCAATAGATATTATGGAGCCATTATTACTTTCCTTTGGCAATATAACATTGCTGGAACTGATTTAGAACAAAGGAGACATCGATTAATTTATAAATAATACATAAACCTAGTTTTATAAGAGAACTTGACATAATTTGCAAGAATCTATGACTAATTGTATAAATTTTTATTTTTCTGCTTTCAATAATTAAAAAACATGTAAATTAATGTATATTTACTGATAAACATGGAAAACTTCATATGAAATCAACAATGGAACACAATGGAATAATATGAATTGCTGGATAATACTGGATGATGTTTATGAATATATTTGTTTATTATATGTAACTATGTTCTGTTTATTATTTTTCCATTATTTATTTATTTTTACTAAACTGTTATGAATACACAACGTTGAACTTTACAAAAATAAAAAATAAATAAATCCTGAAATCTATGTCTGTATGTACCGTAACGGTATAAATCCCGATTGTCTGATTGTTTCCCCTCATTAGCCCAGATTTGTTCCGTTTCCAGGTTTCCAACTGCTTGTAAAACACTGAAAGCATGACTTCTTGCAACACGCTCATTCTAATCTATTTTTCTTGCCAGTCATTGCTGCACTGATATTTTTTAAACTTTAATACAGTCTGACAATAAGGGTACAGTTAACCCCACATTTCTGCAAGCCAGACTAGGCCTAATTGTATCATTTTTTCAATTGCAGTTCGGTACCAGAGTACTCTTATCTCATTGCTGTAAAATTCTTCAATAATCTGTTTTCAATGCCGAAAGATCTTTATTCTCTGCGATTGGCATTGGTTGGTCAGAGACAGAAACAAACAGTAGGAAGTGGGAAATCGTTTGTACGGAATTTGGCTTGCTGGTAAGCTATTCAAGTAATTTCAGTTTTGCTGTTAGAAGTACTTTCCTATATCCAGATGCCTGTATATCAATATGTGGTATATTTCCAGACTTCAGTCACTTTAAATTGTCTAACTAATTATGCAGTAGAATCATGACTGTCGTCATACATGTCATCTCCTTTTGCAGGATAATCGCTCTTCCAGTGGCTGTGATAACATTTGTTCAACTGAAGAAAGCAACGGATAGAAGACGATTGATTGAATTAAGAGAAATTCAACGAATTAACCGTTCCTCTGAACCTAGCACAGAGTTATAAGATAATTGTAAATAAGAGTAGATTTATGTGGCATCAATCATGAACTCTATACGGAGGTTACAGATTATTTCAAGGCATTTGTGCAACAGTACTAGGTCTCAACTATTCAACCTAAGTCGGCGACGAACAGGATTTACAAGTTTTCCAATATTGAGGTGTGTTGTTATTGAAGTCCAGTTTTTCTCTTTTTGTTCTGTCTCTCATATCTTATTAACTTAATGCAGCACATCTTAACTTCACATTACTAATTTAAGTTTGCGAAATAGGATTGTTAATTGTTTCCTGACACTTATATGAGTGGATGCACTAAGTTTTTGCATTCGGTTATCTAAATGGAAAAAATTCCATTTTCCAATTATTTTCACAGGCAGATGTCTTCAAACTCTGACGATGAAGTCATTTTTGAAAGATTCGGGACTAAAGGTGTAATAACATTGAATCGACCTAAAAGTTTAAATGCACTCAACTTGAGCATGGTCAATAAAATCTACCCAAAGCTGAAAGAATGGGAAGAAAATCCAGAAACAACAATGATTATTATGAAAGCATCTGGTGAAAAAGCATTTTGCGCTGGAGGGGATATCTTGAGTGCTACAGGTGCTGGGACAGCAGGTATGAATATAAATGTAAAGAAATATTTGTATTTTTTTATATATCTGCCAGCTTATCAGTGAGTTATAACCTATTGCTTATCATTCTTCCATAAAAGCACCTTATTCCTTTATTATTGGACTCCTCGAGACAGGAAAGGTTTTCGATACTTCTGTTGTTTCTCATTTATTTTTTCCAGGGTCTGAATTTTTCAACAAGGAATATGTATTGAATCACGCCATTGGTACATGCTTGGTTCCATATATTGCATTTATAGATGGAATAACAATGGGTGGGGGAGTGGGGTTGTCAGTCCATGGACAATTTCGTATTGCAACTGAGCGTACTCTCTTTGCAATGCCAGAAACAGCCATAGGTAAGCCAAAGAGGTGATGCCTCGTCATTTATGCTACAACTTGTATCGATTAGGAAAAGAGTAGGATTTTATACTTTGTATATTAGATTATTAGTGCTCTCATTTGTTTTGCCTGCTTCAACTACAACTTAATTTCATCTTTGTGACTTTAGACATCTCTTGAGTAGACACTGATTTCATTTTTGCTCTCCCAAACAATCAATTTCTTAGTTCTGTATTTTTTCTCCAAATTTTTTGTAAGAAATGTCACAGGAATTATACATGTCTAGTTTATAGCATATTGAATTTAACTAAAATTTTGTAATAGAAATATTTGAATCCTTGAAATACTTTTCTTAAGGTATTTGAAGTTAAAATGTTCACATCTTTTCTTTAAATACAAAACAATGGTAGAGATATGGACATGGTGTTTACTTTGATCACTGTGTTGTCAAGATCCTTTTTTTTTCGCCATGCAGGTTTATTTCCAGATGTTGGTGGTTCCTATGTTTTACCTCGCCTTGGACACTCACTCGGTCTTTATCTAGCACTAACTGGATTTAGATTAAAAGGAAGAGATGTGTATAAGTCTGGAATTGCTACTCACATGGTTGACAGTGAAAACCTTCCTAAAGTTGAAATGGATTTGTTAGCATTGGAAAATCCTAGTACTCAGGATATTATGGATGTAAGTTGAGATTCTTTATGAATAAATAAATAACTACATACTCTTGAGAAATGGCCATTTTATAGGAAAATATTGTTGTGATTGATTTCGTAAAATATAACTAAGCAGAAATACTGGGTTCTTGATTGCACATGAGATCGAATCGAAACAATTCATTTAATAGCCTGTACATGTGGATAACTAATTTTCAAACAAATAGTTATTGCTAAAGTTATAGAATGAGTTGCTCTCCTCCTTACTTTAGAAGTGAAATTACTTTGCAAATTGATCTTCATTATGCTTCACAAACTTGATAATGATGCATTCTTTTTACAACTTATTAATTGAATAGCATATTCCTTCATTTAAAATGAGTTTTTATGACAAAATATTATGTAGCAAACTAGGTATTTGTAGTGATTCCTTTCATTACATTACATTTTTATTCATTTCCTTTGTGCCGGAAAGAACTGCCAATTATGTGGTGCTTTATAACTCACTGCTTACCCAATTCTTCACTTTTGGTAATAGGGTTTTTTCAGTGATTTTTATGTTTCTTCTTACTTGATCTGACAGCTCTTACGCAGGTACCATCTTGAATGTAAAACCGGTAGAGAAAGAGATTTTATTCTTGCCGATAAGTTAGATGACATTAACAGATTGTTTGCTGGTGATACGATGGAAGAAATCTTTCAGGTACTTACTACAGTTATCTACAAATATATATCAGGTTGTGAATAGAAGATAGCATATCAAGTTAAGAACCAAAGTGCTTTATACTGTGAATGCTGATATACCAATGCTCCATAATTTAATTTAATTATTCAATTAGGTTTAGTTTTTCAAAAAATTTGACTATATGCAGAGAATGCCAAGTAGAAGAAATTATTGTTATTTCATTAATAGTGCATATCCTTTTTTGGATGCAGTGCATCAAAAATGTGAAACATTGATATACAGTAATGTATTGAAGTCTATGCATTTCTTTTTATATTCAATATGTAAATTACTTCTTGTAAAGAATTTGGAGAATGAGGGAACACAATGGGCTAAACAACAGTTGGAAACATTAAGGAAAATGTCTCCGACTTCTATGAAAGTAACTTTGCGTCAGTTAACTGCAGGAGCTGATCTTGATCTTCCAGAATGTTTAATAATGGAGTCAAGGTGAGTTCAACCCAAAATACGATATGTACTAACTTTGAATATGAAAATCTTAGTTCATATCGTTACAGCCCAGGATTTAATAAAAATTCCATATTTAGTTAGTTAGGCTACATTTATAGCCTGGAGAAGCTATCATTATGTTTGCTAAAAAACTTAAGGTGAAGGCATGATCATGGGTCATTTGACATCAGATACAATCTTCACTAGCATCTGTGAACAAGTCAAACATCAGGAATAATGAGACTTCAGAGTAGATATCATATACAGCACAGGTTGTTTATAAATTGCCAAGAAACTTTATTGATGCCATATATAGTTATAACATGGCTATATGATCACCCTGTAATTCTGCATTTGAAATGATTATGATGTTCTAAAATTGATTTAAATTGCTGTCTTTTTTCATGGCAAAATAGGAAGACACATGGCTTTATTTAGAAAATTACTGATAAAGTGGTAATGAAAATATCCTAGTTTCCATATTACTTTCAATATTACATTAAATTCAAATTCTCCGTGATCCAGTCGGTGGACATTTCTACTCAACAAAACACTAGGCTATAAAAACAAACTCTAGTTTATTTATTAATTATTGCAGGATTGCAAGGGGTTGTCTTAGAAACCATGATTTCTATGAAGGTGTTCGTGCAGTGTTAGTAGATAGAGATCATTCACCGAAATGGCAGCCTGATACCTTGGAAGGTGTAACTGATGATATTGTTGAAGATCATTTTTCATTGATTGAAGGAGATACAGACCTTGAACTATAATGTCTTAAACATTCATCATACTTTTTCAATTGGCTTTGTACGAGTATGGTATGAGCCTTGTTATTAGGCAATTGACTGACCGGTTTGTGGTTCAGGTTCATGGACACAGGCCTAATTCGAGGGTGTCCGCAGCTGATTAATTTACTTTTTTAATGCATTCTCAAAATGTCGTTTTTTAAATTTAATATAAACACCAAATATTCAAAAAGTCGAGTTGTTCTATTATCTGTATTATAAGCTAAAACTAGTAATGTTACAATGCTTGAAACATATTTAGTGGACTTGGTAACTATTGTAGACACTCAAAAATTAGATATATTCCAAATTTAGTGTTGAGTGAATGTAAAATGCAAAGATTAATGTGCATAATGCAACACCTTGGGTCAGTTCCAATAAGCCATTGATCCATGTTTCCATTTGTTAAGCTGTACTAATCTTGTTCTAATGAATTTTTCAATATGAATAAGCATGCAAATTTTGAACATGCCAAGTATTGTGTTTTGTTCAGGGCTAGTTGTTCTGAACAACAACTGAAACTCGGAATCTAGTTCTGATTTTCTATTGCCTTGCATAGCCTTTTTAAATATGATCGTACTGGAGATATTCTTATTCAGATGATGGCTATACCTGTTGCAATAACTGCTGAGATGCTCATTTGATTTCTGGCCATGTTGGATTAATTGTATAGAGAGACCACTTGTGATATACACTGTAACTTGTAATTTAAAGCCCTTTTTAATTCTGCATTATAATTTTTGTGGCGACACAACATCTGTTCATTTTATTTACAAAATCAAAAATTTTTTATTGAAATTCTTGTCAGAAGTGCAATGGAATTTATGGAGTGGAAAGTGAGAAACAGGTACGATTCGAATTGATCCAAATCCAAGTCGTACCGGTACTGCTGTATGCACGTTCGCAATAAGCTCTGTGTTCTGATACCCTTGTGGTGTATTATGTTCAAAGGATTCATTTTTACCGCGGGTCTGTTGCGGTTTCTTTTACCATGGGAGTCTATGCATCAGGCTAGAATTCCCATGACTAGTTCCAGTGACAGAAGCAGGCTATGGTTCCACATATTCATTTAGCCTTCTCTATTTCCTCTGTATGAATAAGCGAAAAAATTGTGTATCAGTGGATTCATGTACAAAAGACTTGGCTGGCGGATTGGATTCAAATTGACGCCTGTGTTACAAGAACCTTACGGCACAGTGCGGACAAAAACAGGAATCTTGGGGATCGTTTCGCTTTTCTCATCGGGTCGTCTTTTTGACTGTCCTTCATATGATAATCGCTTTCTTGGAGTGATTGGAGGTCTAAAGACAGAATCTAATTATTTTTGGTTATGGATATTCCGTATGTAAAATACAAACATCGCGCATGCTTGTAAACAATTTCCATTTTAAAAGTAGAACGGGATAGCTATCATCAACAGTTAAAAAAAGAAATTTCATTCAACATCCGAAACTTAAGCTTCGGATGCGATGTCAATTTTTTCCAACATTTACAAAAAACAATATTCTGATTACAAAAATGATGGCGCTTGTATGTCACTCACTGCAAAACAAGCAAAAAAACTTCATCTAAGTCCGGCAGCCAGGAATTCTTACCGTCGAATGTATAAACTATTGTATGATGATAATGTGCGGATGTGATTGTTACTCGAATTAGAAATTTCGAGAACGGATTTTGCCGATATTTATTTTAGTATAAATGTAAAATCGAACGTTAACTCGCCTACATCATTTTTGTTTTTTCTTCAGAATGAGCTCGAGGCCTTGTTGTTGACCGTCTTTTTGCTGACGGCTGTTGCATTCTTCTGACGACCTCCGGCGTCTTTTTGGCGCCCCCGGTCAAACTCTGGTCAGTGTGTTGTTTGTGTGTAGCCCTGGATTCACTGTATGCTCGTTCGGAATATCCTCTTTTTTCTCCTCTTGCTCTCATGGGTTCAACGTTTTCTTGGTTTGTCATCCGTCTCGCGATAGAAGTATGTCGGCCGCGCCTGGGCGACGTGCTTTGGTCTCTATACGCACGTCTAGAAAAAGTACTATATATAATACTGTAGCTAGATTCTTTTGTTGTAAATAAAATGAGCGTTTAAGGGAAAGTGATGAAAGAGTTATTTTTGCTCTATTTGAAGTTGCAAATCAACACGATATTTTATTCAACATATTTATTTCGACCCACTTACTCTGCTAATGGAAATTACGTATCATTTCGTTGTGGAATACTCCAGGGTGGTAAATTCATAACAAACATTTGTATAAATACCGACCTTTCTCTAGTTTGATAATTTGTATTCAAGGCATGCATACTCCGTGTTCGTCTGTCAGTCGGCCCTGCTTCCATCGCACGAGTAGCTAACTTTTTAGTGTAGAAGTCTATCTTTCTGTTATTCGTGTGAAATGCGAGCGTTCTTGGTTTTGGCGCCTAAATCAATAAAATGTATATATGTACATTTGCGTTGTAAATACTTATCCAAACCATTTCAAAGTAAATCTTTGTATTCAGATAATTTGCGAAAAACTAAGAAAAATTCCTCAATTAAATGTTTGCGTCAAATTTTAACGTTACCTCAAAGTCAAGTTCCATTGGAAAATCACTTAGTGAACTATAGTATCCGTCACTACTTCGAGTCTCTGGATTTTGGGTTTCTTTCAGGTCAGCTAATAAAACCTCTGCGGGAATAACAACAGGAGAAGGATCAAGTCGTCTAACTCTCTCACTTCTGAATCTTCCATCCCGAGAATAATCGGAACTTGTATGTTCATAGTTTGGTCTTAAGAATATACATAATTAGGATTATATATAATATATATATAGTTGACTTTAATTTAAGGAATTCCTAGTGTGTAAACAGCCATTCCGTATATTTTTGTTCTCGCCAGGTTGTCGGTTGTACATATTCTGATTCGCATAGAAAATCTTTCTTCGAGAAATATTTAGTTTTAGAAATATTCTACACGGCAAGTACGCACATAGCATATTATGTACATAAATTTGAAAAGTAAATGAAAAATGCTCTAGCTGCAAATTTTGGCAAAACACTAAAAACTTGTGGCCGTGTGGCCCAATCAAACCATGAATATACACAATATTCCGTTTGTTTAAATATAGTTGTTTTCAAACTCATTTATTCCTGGGCAGACTGGGGACGTTACTCGTCGGTTCAAATGCGCAACTTATGAGATTTATCAAAAAGTTTTGGCACTCATAATAATTCATTACCTTCTGACAGGCGTTGATCGAGATCTGGGTGCTTTGTATTGTTTTTGTGTTTTCGATCGACCACGCGGTGTTAAGCCTTCTTGCCATATTCCTATGTTGTTAACTCCGTGATCTTCAGAATAGGAAAATGTTTTTTCCAATATATTTGGGCTACACAATACGTCCGTGTTATCAGAATGAGCCCCTAAAACTTCTTCTACACTCGTAGAAGTTTGTGAAACACTCGACATTGCCTGTCGTGGAGTTGGCGTAAGCGGGAAAAGAAATTGTCCAGATCTTGGAGTGGAGGCGTACGATGCAGGTGAAGTCAAACTTGTCTTTTGTCTGGTACTTGGTGGAGCAGTACGAAGGCGGGTATTGGTTAGACTAGCTGGTTTGAAGATTTCGTCTACGTCATCTTGTTCTACAATATAGAGAAAATCATAAAGGTTTGTATTTTGTACGTAAATTGCATAATTAAATATACAGTATACCTAATTCAGTATCCTCTGGCAATCCATTTTCTACACTCGATATCTTACTTATTTGTGCTTTGCGTGATATCGGTAACGGGGATGAAGGGCGAGGCTGTTGACTGCTGCTTCGTTTCGCAGTCGCTGGGTCTTTTGTTGATGATTTTCTCCGCGATAAATCAAAACTAAAAACAGACTTGGATCTTGGGGAAATCTTGGAAAGGGGTGAAATAGGTGACTGCAGTGCTTTCTTCTCTCCTACCATTGGAATGGTTCGTTTTATGCGCAGACTGCTTACGAGCCGCTTTCTTTGTTCGCCCTGTATGAAATGGATATCACATATTTTCATTTCACGGATTGTCTGAAAAAACTTGCAAACTTCATACCTGTAATCCCTGTTGATCTGCAACACGGAAAAACATGTGATATTGTATAAGAGCTTGCCAGATAATCTTTGTCTGATACATATCTTCCAAGCAATATTCTTTAACAATGTGTCGCTGGTTTGCTGCTGCTTTCTCCGATTGTTTTGCATCAGCAGCAACAGATTGTCTCATGGACTGTAATTTATAAAAAAAAGAGTAATTTTTTGCTCACATAGCCGCCTTGTAGTAGCAAAATATATTCTGCCAATTATTAGCTAAATTCATATATTTTGTGATTTCACCTACCCCTTGCATTTTTAAAACAATCCTGTTGTGTTTGAAGCTGACTGCTCTCATAGATTTCCATGTCCACACTGTTTCATTTCCGTTCCTTTTGAACTGGTGAACACCTATAGGCCCGATGCCAACTGTCATCTTCTCCCCTCTCTCTTCTTAACGTAATAACGTAATATTATTTCCTAATATATGATATATATTATGAATGTTCCACAAAGCATCGACTTCCTCGTTTGTTTCCGTAACAATGACCAATTAACCATAAGTTAACAGTGATGTTACAATTGATATTTGTGAAGACGCGCAGATACTTATATCACTTAGGCAGATTTTCGGGCATTTGTAAATATGGTTACTTACAGTAACCAAAAGTTAGAAAAAGGTGCAATAGATTAGGCTAAAATTAACTAACAGTGCTTTTATATTGTAGGTGATTGAATATTTTAGTCAAATGAGGGTTGTTAACATGTAAACTAATTTGTAAGCGTTGACCCGAGGCAACACTCTAAAAATAGACAAAGTTGAAGCACAAGAGGAATTTATATGGGGTCAAAGGTCGGGTTGATATCCGGTACGTCGATGAAGAAACTTACCGGATTGAGATTGTTTTTGTTGAGTCGGTGCCCACATCGGATAGTAATGAATCCCGTATTTCGGCAATGAAGCCGCAAGTCTAATGAATTTATAATCGGCATCACGTGATGACATACCGACATGCGCCTGATGAATTTGCATCATCTTCGAAAACATCATAAAACAAAATTATAAAATTTTGACCATTCTCTGTGATTTCTGTCTAGTCTTTGAAGCATACAAAGATTTTCGGTGCCCCAAAGTTTTCGTACCAAGATGGCGCACAACCTGAACATAGTATGTGCACCAGGTTTAGGGTGTGCGTCATCTTCGTACGAATACCTTCGGAGCGCCAGAATTTCAATCATCACGCCGAGGCTGCATGATATTTTTAACTTCCGTTATGAAAGATTAAACCATTCGATTCATACACGTTTTAGCCTGTTCTTCCCAAATGAGTTGAAAATAATAGTTAAACAAAACATAAAGCTCTAGTGTTTAAAGTGTACACAGTGGAACCGGCCACATATATTTTGTTAATATCATAATTGTTTAAATGCCTAGGGAATAATGTTCCCCTTTTAATGTCTGGACAGGCTAGTAAACCCTTTTTCAATTCCAAGTTTTTAAAACTTTTCTCGAAAAAAGAATTTTTAAAATAATGACTGGGACGGATTTTCGGACTATTGGAAATTGTAGATACCTGTTCTTCAAATACGATGTCAGATTTCCCCTCTGTTTTATCAGCTTCGACTTCCCCTTTTTGAACATACCGAAAAGCGTCTGCCAATTGCAAGTCGATATGACGACTGCTCCAATCACCGTACTGGGCTTGTAGCCAATACGAACACAGATGTGCCATTGTTTGAGCGGGGCAACGAAGTCTCCCCGTCAGCAAATCTTGGCGAATTTGCATTATGACGTGGAATCTAGTTACAAAGATAATAAATCAAAAAACGATTACGAGTGCCTTTTTCATGGTATTCATCTAAGTTTAAGGTATACAACACTAACAATATGAATACAATACAAAACCGTTGCTCTGATATATAAAGTAAAAATAGCAACAGAATTTTCAATTACCGAAAACTACTTTGCCTCTTCTCAACACTGTCATTTTAAATCTACCTATCAAGGCACTAAATACAAAAACCAACCTTGCTACTTCTTCTTGCATACCCGCCAGTGTTTTAGGGTAATATTTTACAATGAAGGCAAACTCCCACACTTTACATTTTCCCGGTATTTGTCCTTTCAAGGTCTTATCCATTCGTATCCACCAGTTATATGGTGCTGGTCCAGCTCCTCCCCGGAAGACAATTCCGAACGGGTCATGAAATTTTAAGTTCAAGTATTTGCAAACACTTGTGAATAGGTCGGACCCTGTGGCATCTTTCTCAATGGAAATTTCCACCTCTTTTCCGTCGAGAAAAACACATCTACATGCAACCATATCTAAATATATATCACATATATCTACTGTAAAAACGGAAATGTGAATAGAAACACCTTTTCGTGGTCGAGTGTGCAAAATTAATCATCGTCATCAAATAAATGAATATAAAAATTCACTTCATTTGCTGAAGAAACAGCAAGATATTCACATTTAACATTTTCCGTGCGATCGGGCCCATTATTAGGCCCATCCCTAATTGACTATGAAGTATATGACTAAAGATAGAAATTGTATTAATTAGTGAGACAATTACATTATACAACGATTGCTTTTTTATACATATATATACGAGTATATGCTGTGGTACCGGTACCCCGGGCTGGTTTCAAGCCGATTTTATCAAATTGGGCCTCGCACTTTGAAGGGGCCCCGCGTCAGTAGGGGTCTTTTTCTGTATTATTACTTATTAGTTACAAAATATTACTGAAAATAAAATGTGAAATAATCTTTCTCATAATGTTACTTTGTTATGTATGGTAAATTTAGTAAACTACCGTTATGTCATCATTAACAATGATATTCTTCTGTTCTGCTTTATTTCAGAAATTCAGTTCAACATTTTTGTACTGTTTTCTAAAAAGACATTATATCATGGGAAAAACTAGTAGAGATCGAGATAAATGGCGCAAGTGATTAAGTGGTAACCAGAAAAGAGCATTGACTTTGAAAATATTTTGAATGATTTTGCTAATAAAAAGGCTAGAAAGGTCTTTTTTTGAAAGTGTATAATGTAATTGCCTACTTTGCCTTTTTTGGTGTTAAAAGGAAAACAATAAAAGAATTCACATTACCTTAAATTTGTTTCATAGCAAGTATTAAATGTTTATTTTTTTTTTGGTTTGTATGTGTGTTTTTTCATGAAATATGAACACCCATAAATTTTACTATGAAGAGTAGTAGCCCATCAGATTTCTAATGGCCCCGCAGTTTCTAGTACCTTCGCTTCACCCATTATCAGCTCATTTTATAAATAAAATAGAGTAAATATTACAAGAATTTGTTTTCATATAGATGACATTAAATGAGATCACCCACAGGCCAGGAAACAAAATGTAAAAATCTGACACTACATCATGCAGCTTTTACTCCAAGTGAGGAAACAATCAAACAAATGCGACGTGGGAAATGCTATAAATGTGAGTCTGGGTCGCGGTATTTGAATGCCTGACCTCCTAGGAATAGTTACAGTCAAGTTTAGTTTTTTCCATCTAGTAAAAAAATAACATGCAAAGTTTAAAGAAATAATGTTGAATACAAATTTCACTGGGGAGGGGGAAGCCGCGGGGAACCAAAGCTGGTTATCGAGCAGCGACACCCAAGGTTCGAGTATGAGAGAGAGAGTTTATTATTTTTGTCAACCAAATAAAAAATAAATTTTAGTATAATAAATTAAACAGCATTTATTTTGGTATAGACTGGGAGATGGCGATACGACCAAAGGTCATCAAAGTCAGCCACCACCCATTCCAGCCAAATAATTATAGAGAAAAATAAATATAAAGTAATCGTCGACTAGTTAACTACCAAATATTTAAATGAAGTATACTCTCACTATGAAAAAAATAATGTAAAAAATAAGAGGTACCAGAAAAAATAGGTGAATTGTAGAAAATATTCGAAATAGATTTGAAAATTGAAATATTGTAAGCAAACAGTGGCTATGTGACAATTATATGATGGGCAGTTACATATTTTTATCATTATTGATTATTGTAACTACCGGTATACTCTAGTAGTTCTTAACCAAAAAATTTAGGTAACTTTTCTTAAATTTCACGTAGGAAGCCAATCTAATAGATTCAGGAATTTGATCCCAAATTTTTGGACCAGTGAACTTGATTGATTTTTGAGAGAATTTTGTGTCAGCTCTTGGAATAAAATATGAATTTTTTGAAGAGGATCGTGTATTATACGAATATTGGCTACTACAATCGGTGAAATATGACGCAAACGATTCAGGTAAACTCCCTGAGGAGAATTTATGCATAATTTTCCCTATTTCATAGTGAAATAAGTCATTCAGTTTCAAAATATTCAATTTTTTGTATAGTGGACTAAGTCTAGTTCGCAACGGCACATTAGATATAGTCCTGACAGCGCGGTTTTGGAGAACACCAATTGGCTTTAAATAAGTTTTTGATGCCGAACCCCATAAGACAATACCATATTGAATTGAAGAATGAAAAATTGCAAAATAAACAGTTCGTAAAACACTTTGGACAAGAGACATTTTTGAGCCTGATTAAAATACCAACAGCCCTTGACAGCTTACTAGATAAATGATTGAGATGTTCTTGCCATGTCACACCATGGTCAATAAAAATACCAAGATACTTAACAGAGGTACACACTGATAAACGAGTTCCACTAAGAAATAATTCAACATTACCAAAGTTTTTATTTTCTTTGTTTCCAGGGCTTAGAATAAGAACTTTAGATTTATTTGGATTAACAGATAACTTATTACACGACATCCAGTTTTGAATATGCTGGAGATCTAAATTCATGACATTCTCCAAATGTGCCAGAGTTTTGGAAGAAGCTGTCACACTGGTGTCATCAGCGAAAAGTCGCAGAAAAGATTTTGAAACATTTACTATGTCATTAATGAAAGTTAAAAACAAAGTTGGACCAAGGACAGAACCTTGTGGAACGCCACATAGTATGGGAGCAAGACTTGAATTTGAGGCATCAATGCTGACGAATTGCAATCTATTACTTAGATATGACATAAAAAGATTATTGGCCACACCGCGTATGCCATAATGATTCAATTTTGCAAGTAGTATCTTGTGGTCTACAGTATCGAAAGCTTTTTTCAAATCTAAGAATACACTGCAGCCAAAATATTTCTTCGATATAATTTCATGATAATTTGACAAAATATCCAAAATGGAATATGTGGTGCAATAATCATCTCTAAACCCAAATTGACTACTGGTAATGATAGAGAATCTATCAAGATAGTTTTTTAATCTTACATGAATTAATTTTTCAAAAATTATTGACAAACAGGATAGTATTGATATAGGCCTGTAATTGGATACTGAGCTTTTGCTGCCAGATTTATATACTGGTACAATTCGAGCAATTTTTAGACATTCAGGAAAAATACCAAAATTAAGACTATGATTAAAGAAAACATTCAGTATCTGAGATATTATTTCATCTAGCATTTTAATTAGATACACAGGTACACGATCATGGCCTTCTGCTTTTCCATTTTTCAGTGAATTAACCACAAGTTTTATTTCTTGAACCGTGGACGGTTTTAGGAACATAGAGGATTGGTGCCGTTTGCCCATATATTTCAAGTATCCTGAGTCATCTGCCATAAACGTGGAGGCTAACCTAGGCCCAATTTGAGAAAAATAATGATTGAAAATACCAGTTATTTTATCAGGGTCATTTGATGATATACCGTACCTGTAGAGTCATCAATTATTTCTCTGAAAACTTGACTACATTTTGACTTCAAATTAACAATCAATTTTATATTATTCCACGTTTTTTTTGCATCGTTTTTGTTTTGTAAAAAAGATTTTGAAAAGAACAATTTTTTGGCCGCATATTTGATATGGCACAACTTGTTAGCATATGTTTTGTATTGCCTTTTTTCCAAAATAGAACCTTTCAAATACAATGATTTATGCATTCTATCTCTTGTTTTGATGGACTTCAATATGCCGGTAGAAATCCAGGGTTTTCTTTGCAAACGCAATTCTTTCCTAGACATTTCCTTCAAAGGTGCATGCTTTTCTATGATAAATTTCAAGTCTTGGACAAACTTACTAAAAACATTATTAAAATTATCCTTTGTAATATTCTGTAGGGCATAGTTAGGGAAACAATTTTCTGCATCACTTATAAACAGATCAACATTAAAATTCGACATATCACGTTTTAATTTTTTACGATTTGGACAGTCTGATGTTTTATGAGAAATTTGGCAGAGAACAGGAAAATGATCTGTGAGATCATTTTGTAGCACAATTGGTTGTAATGCGACGTCTTCTAAATTAGTATAAATGTGATCCAAGAGAGTGGAAGAGCCAGGAGTCACTCTAGTTGGATGCGTTATCAAGGGAACCGTGGAGTGAGATTTGAGCATGCTGATATAATTTAAAATATATTTAGACTGAGATAAGAGATTCACATTCATATCTCCCACGATGAAAAATTTTTTTTTATCATGAGACAACTTATACAGTGAATCACTAAGATTGTCTAGGAAAGAATTGGTGTTAGAGTTAGGGTGGCGATAAATGACACCAATAACAAGTGAGGAATGCTGGCTAATTTTTAAAGGTATTTCCACCCACAACTCTTCACACCCAGCATCCATTAAATTATATACCTCAATCACCTTGGGACAAAGTCCATGCACTATATATAACCCCACACCCCCAGATTTTTTTTTTGATGGACTATGTAAAAAAGTATATCCTTCGATAGAAATATTTTTTATAGGATCTTGTTGTAATTTAGTTTCAGAAAGACAGATAACAGAAGGATATGGGTTAATATCATGTAGCAACGTCACCAAATCCTCATAATTTTTTTGTATGGATCTAATGTTGAAATGTATGAGCAAGAAAGGCATATGTTTACTATATTGTGGCATGAATTTAGATACAGACAATTTATCCATGTTCAAAGTGCAACAATCCTGAATATTTTCAAAATCAAATTCAGAGAGCTCAAGTTTTGGTAGATTAGTACTGACTTCTTGTGGGACCCCATGCTCAAGGCTACATTGATATACATCAAATGGAAGAATAGATTTAACACAAGGAAAGCAGTAATAATTAAGCTCAGTATTTGTCAATGTTTCAAATGCAGCAATGTCCATTAAAGAACATTTAAAATGTACCCACTGATCACATATATCACAACAAATTGCTGCTTGGTCCCATTGGCAAGGTTGCCTACAAACTGAGCAAGGATAGGATGACATTTTAAAAAATAATAAACTATTTATATCATCCTATCTTATATCAGTTACTTTAGTTTTTCAAGGTCACTCATGGACTTGATTGCAATTCTAGCATGGACATTACTTTTTTTCATAAATACCTTGCCATTCGCAGTCCATAAATATTCATACTTGTTTTCCCTTTTCACAGTGCGTGCAGCGTAGAACAAATCTTTTCGTTGTTTAGTCAAATGCATCTAGTATCTAGTCGAAATGTTAAGTTCTAACATTTTGATTATCGCAGCGCAGTACTGTTATTATTGAACGAGTTTTGCTCACGCATCAACAGGAGTTGAAACTTACGAAATAAATGGGTAGGCCACCAATCGATAAATGCATCGCATTTTACAATTGAGATACAACATTGGAATATATTTAGCCAACGAAAAGGTTGGTGCGGACCGGCGCTGGTTGAAAACAACTGATCGAACCTTTAACGCTCTCTAACTCGTGTCTACATGTCTGCTTCGATCTACGTCCTATTTGTATCTGTTAATGTGCTCATCTGATCCATATAACTATTCACTCCGCGCAGTGAAATTTGGAAACAAAAGTTATTGATTTGTAAGATTTTTCCTTGTCCACTGCAACGAAGTTAATGTCCCCCCTTCATTGACCCCACTTTGCGACGCAGAATTCGATAAATGACTTTCAAATGCTCCCGACTCTTGTCACAATGGACTATATTACCTATTCGGTGAATGAAAGATTTATACCGTCTTTTGTATCGAGTCACCTCGAGCGAATATACTAAACATGAAAACACAAAATCGGCGTGTAAGGTTACATTACATTCCTGTTGTATGATATTTGATAAGCCCTAGGTTGCCAAACAATGATATATTATTTTTGATCATGCGAGTCTTCGTGGCGACTGTCTGACATAACACGAGTTGATAAAAATAATAATACGAATACTTATAAAGGACAAACGGGCGCTGGAATGGTAGTGCCAGTAATACTATCAACAAATGACCAGGTTTACTTTCGCATTGGTTGGAATCCCGTGAAGGCATTATACGCAAGATTGCAGATCCATCCCCGGCGACTTAACAAGACCGAAGTGCACACTAAGCACAAATGCGGGTATTTACACCAGTCGGACTCGAAATTCCTGATTCGATCACTGAGGCCCTGCCGATAACTTGTCTTGCAAATTAACCTCAACCTAAAATTGAGACCTTTCAAATTGGCAACAAAACTATGAATAAGCCATATAGGTCATGGGGCCACCTCTGAGATCGATAGTTTCATCAATTCAACCCAACAATTATAATAAACAAAACCGCAAATAATTACCCATGATTGTATTTAAAGGCTGTTTTAAAATAGGGTGAAATTTACTTGTTAAATAAATTTTCAGACCACATAAATGTATGTTCATTCAAGCGATCCAAGATGGATAAATCATTGAAATCTTTTAGGGGTGCTTCATGGAGTTCAAAACTCGCCCCATGTTTTTCTGATTCAATTTCTTTTCCCATTGCAGAAGCTTTCTTCTCAGACAAGACCTTTTTAGGGAGAAATGATAGAAGGAAAGTTTTTGCATAACTTGATGTAGACGGCGCAACATGACTAGGCAAATCCAAGATATTCTTCAATGCAGTCAGATGCAAGTCCGAAATAAGGTTAGATTCTATATCCATATCTTCTGAAAAAGATTCCTTCTTTGTTTTCGATACTTTCAGCACAGATGCCAAAGGAGTTTTTAAACTTTCATTGTCAATGTTAAAAATATTTGAAACTGATGACAACCTTTTTTTGTCTTCCACCTCTTTGTCTGTGCAAAATGTAAAAACTGACATTTTATCATCAACAAGGAATATCCGAGAGTTTTGCATCCAAGATATATTTTCACTGCTTTGTAGCCAAGATTTTCTCGTTTCATTCCCACTTGGTACATAAGATGCACTAACAATTTGGTTTTTACACAAATTTTTATGTCTATATATTGGCAATGGACTTGTTGGTTGAAATACAAATAGGTCATTTGAGTCCGTGAGAGCAGCTATAAAACTGGACAAATGATCATTGATGAGGTGCTTTACCTGTATGTTCACAGACCATAAGATTCCTCCACTTAATAAATCGCAAGCATGCATGGCATCATGCAAGACCACCATTAAAATATGTTGAGAGGAATGACTTCCAAAATTTAGGTGCTTGATATTTTCACCTTTACCAAATGACAACAAGATAGTCAATTCTTGTAATAGATCAGGATCACTGAGGCAAACTTTACTGCCAAAAGCTGTTGCACAAAGAGAGCCATCTTGTGAAAATGCACCATCATACAGAGGTTGATTCCTATAAGAAGCAGCAGTAACACAACACCAAAAGAATTGTTCATCACTAGAACCATGTTTCACTGTCCATATTTTAGCCATTCCATCTATGCTGGTTGTCAGAAGTGCTGGGTGGATTTCACCAGCATCTGAATGTGGACGAAATGTAATTTTTGTTACTGTGGATTTATGGGGATCGTTTACAACTGTATTCAGTTTCCACCATTGTTCAATTTCATCAAACACCCAAAACTTCAATTTTTGTTCTCTAGAATATGTGACATTTGGTATGTCTTCTATTGTGGCCATCCAAGTAAGCGCACTGGGATCATTTTTCTCAAAACCTTTTATAATTTTTTGACACGTAAACGCAACATTAGTAATAGTAGTCTGTGGTATATGTGATCCCATCTCAGAAGCAATATAATTTTGATGGACAATGTCTAAGTTATAAAGTTGGGTATCGGAGTATGGATGATAGAACAGCAAATGACCAGGCTTGCCATTGGTAACACAAGAGTTCGTCTTCCAGTCATATTCCAGAAATCGATGAGTGGTATTTTTGGATTCCATAACAGCAGTAAAACCTTCTAATGAATGTTTTATGGAGAAATAATTTGTTATAAGCAGTAATGAGTTGTCAATATGAGTTGTGGCAAACAGTGCTCCATTTCTTGAGACAGCAATATGTCGAGCAGGTGTACCCAGTCTGGGGAAGAAATCTTTTTTACTACCATATCCTTGATATATCCATTGTACCAAGACACTTTCCTTCCCAACTGATAATAAACTAGCACCACCTGGAGTAAAATAAACATCTTGGACTTCCTTGCTATGCCAATGTTGGGATGAAACTACCAAACCAGATTTGGTATGCTTCTTGTTAGTAGATTTTTTATTCCATTGATGCAAATTGTGCCAGAATTTGATAATTCCACTAGATTGGCCAGTGACACAAGCATTGTCTGTTGGATGACAAGCAATGCATGTTATTTCTCCACCTTTCTGGTCACCATGCTCAAGAATTGCACCATTTGGGTTGTTGATATCAAGGACACAAAGTTTTTTCTTTCTACAAAATACGATAATATTACCAGGAGACAAGAATGCAACTGTCCTGGAGACCTTTAAACTGACATTTGTGGCCAGAATAACCATTTCAAGACTTTCCTCTGACTTATTGGCATTTATTGCTTCAAGTGACACTTTAGATATAACTGAATTATCATTTTTCTTTGTAACAACAAGCACGTCTTGAATATTTTCGTGGGAATAAATTCCAAACAATGGTAATTCTGCTCTACATGTTCTTAGTAATACACCATCTTCATAATCCCATATCCTAATTGTTCGATCCAGAGAACTGGACAGAATTTGAAGGCTAATTTTTGGATGATGGCAAATTCCAGTTACTTCATCATCATGACCAATCAATCTTTGCGTGTTCTCGCCAGTTTCTGCTGAAAAAACTTTGATTTCTGATGCACAAGCACAAAATAAAAATCTTGAATCCAATGAAAACAAAGGCGGATGTTGAGTAAGGCTGTCACCCCCACTTCTTATGACATTTAATCGGGGAATCTTCATTAGAAATTTTGTGCTTATCGATTTTTTATGTATTCTAATTTCTATCAAAAAAGGCAAAAATCAATAAATGAGTATCAAGAATTGTTGGGAGGTATTTGGGGATAAAATAATGTGGCCCAACGATAAACATTATACAATTACTATAGTATGGATGTTTTAACGAGGTCATCCGTTTTATTATTTTTGTAAATCTATTAATGACAAATTAAATTTACTATAGACTACATCCAACAAGTTCATATTGGCCATTTATAATTTCATTGCAGTTTATTGTATAGCAAAAAGTGATATATATAACTGGGCAAATTTCTGTAAAAAAGAAAATTTTAATTTGTTTAAAGATATCCCAGGACACATTCAATTTTAAAAATATACATATAATAATAAATACAATAGAATCTGTTATATTCAAAGATATCCTTAAAAGAATAATGCATTAGACTAGACTTTGTTGATGTTACTGCTGTTCCAAACCATGCATACTATTTCATTCAAAGTGTATTAAACAGTTTTTCTACTCACTCTATATGAGTGACATCTTGCATACAATTTTGTTCAAAAAATGTTCTGAAGCAAATAAAACATTGATATATATAGTAGAATATACTATTTTAGTTATCGCTATAGCTTAATTGATTCAAAATCAGGCAATTTCGACAAGTGAACATTACTCTGAAGCACAATAAAGTGCTATTCAATGTCACTGTACAGCTGTAACAAGTTATTCAAAATTGTGTGATGCCCTTTATTATACTATTATTGTTACTTTTTATCATAATGAAGAAATCCAAAAGGTTCTAAAATGAGTTTAATTGGAATTATTGCTTTCCACACCCTTCACTTATTAAAATATATTAATGATGAATGTCTATATCAGCTATATAGCATATTTAGCGAAATATAGTAATATTATCAGTAGTCAACATCACAGTGCTATGTTAGTCCAGAATATCATTTAAGCTAAAATCATAATTTTCCATTCTTTTTAGCATTTTCAAATTCTTTTTTCAACTCATTTCTGAAGGTTCCCATAAACTTGTTATCTGATTTTCTGCTTTTCGAACCTTCAGAGATGGATTTCTTTGTTGTTTCTTCCAGAATGGAAGAAGTGCCTTTTCCTTTGGATAGAAGTGATTGATAAAACGCAACAAAAATTTGAGCACTCCTGCGTAAGATTCTTGTTTCTGAAAGTCGTTCTACAAGTTGTGTTTGATGTATAAAAAGTTCTGCCAGTCGCCTCCACATGTTTTTATTGAAAATTTTTATTAAAATTTAAATATTCCAGTATTCTGCAGGTACTGAGATAATGAAATTATTAGGTGATTAGTAATTGATGAAAGATTATTAGGTCTATAGCCTGCAACCTATTCTGATTGCCCCATTCCAGCCACCAACAGGCAGACAGTCATTGCCACCAAAAGACAGACAGGGAGGTCAGTACCTTAAGTACTGAGGTGTTACACTTAAATTATATGTTAAACTTAAATACAGAAACGGCAAATTCAGAAAATAAGATTTAGGATGAGATTTTATTTCGATTCATTCGCAAAAAACAAAATAAACATATATATACATAAAAAATTAAGGCGAATAATCTGGAAAGTGAAAAAATCCTAATAAAATAAGTTTAAAACATATTAAACGCGTTCACTCACCGAAGAAGAAAGATTATGTGCGAGAGGATTGCTGGACTCTTCGCCGCCGTAGGATGGTTTACTGCTTCCTCCACCATCAAGTCCATGCTCCCAAAAACAAATAACTGGCTAACTAATCCCATACCCGACCTGGATTGAGTGGAAGTGGTGACTCCTCTCTACGGCCCATCAAGTTGTGTAAAGGGAATATTCACTTGGCTAACACGACAGTCCCCGAACTCATAATACAGTAATAGAACTATAATGTGAAAAATCTGAACAAAATTTTGTCCTAACTCTAGCCTGGTACACATACTACAGGAGCATCTTTTTCTGTAGCTTGGTATTTTGCTTCTTTTTTATATAAAGGCTTATAGTAAGAAAAAAATTTGGTGGCATCCGCGGCCCATATTTTGATGGGATGCGGCCCATATCTTGATGGGCCACGGCCCATGTGGCCCAATTCGACGGGCCATGGGCCGTAAAGAAGTCACTACCCCTGTAGCCTGGACTGGTACGGTAACCGGATGAGAGGCCGTGGTTCGCCATATGATTAAGCCGTCTCATAGGCTTTCCATTCCCCCCGGGATAAATATGTAAATCCTATCCTATCTTCGGCTCGAAGTAGCCACGTCCGCACGCGACGGCGGTCGGTTCCGACTGTAGGTCGTAGGATGCCTACATTAACCGATTCTGGCACAATTTACCACAATATCCTAGGCCTAGCTGTAGGTAGTACGGTACACGGCTGTTGATTAAACCAATAAACGGTATTGTACCATAGATTATACACCTCCATATATAGCACACACGTGGTGGCCACAGCCCAAAGGCTGGATATCAAATATTTGCGGCTGAGTAACCCGGAATTCAGCACGCCGCCAAAGGAGCCCATTTGTGATTATTTGTCATTCTGGTGTGGGAAATTTACCAACTATCGTAGTACTGTATATTTTACTCGTATATGCTAGCTCAGTGTTTTTCAACCGGGGTGCCGCGGCACACCGGTGTACCGTAAGTTATTGTCAGGGGTGCCGTGGGAAATTCCCAAATTGTGTGTCTATGCGGTGTAGCGACCGACAGAGTAAGCATGTGGTACGGTAGCAGCATCAGGTGGCGATTTGCTTTTTTTGTCTTTGTTTTTATTAGATTACTATTCAGGATGTCCTATTCAACATCTTTCTTCAATGTTAAAAATCTTATATTAACAATATAACACTTATATATATTGTGAATATTAGGCCTTTTCTTCATATTTTCAAATGTGTGTGCCGCGGGATCTTCTCACTGAAAAAAGTGTGCCTTGGCTCGAAAAAGGTTGAAAAACACTGTGCTAGCTATTCCGCAGCGTCGCAAAATAATGCATGCATGCTCCGCATGTTTACTTGCTTTCATCTGTTTCTAATTGAGCAATGCCCCAATAGCTGCATCGACGAGTTCAACTATGATGGACAGTTAGCGTGGCTTCATATCACACCTAAAAGCAGCAAATTCAAGAAGGTTAAAGTTGCATTGTGTAATTCGATGGCAACATTTGGTGGTCACATGGCCGGATTTATCATTAGGCAACGGTAGGCTAAACATTAAGAGCCTCGAATCTTAGGGGCATCGACATTCAATTTTGAACTATTATTGGACACGAAATGTACATATGGATCGTTCATTATTATTATGCTGTTATGCTCTTTTTCTTCATTTTCTGGTATTTCTCTTGTTATAGGTGGGTTATCACGGAATTTTTTTTTTTTTGGGGGTGAATTTAATTCTATATATTTCTCCAGAATTTTTGACGCTTACTATTTATTTACGTAAAAGTCGACTTAGTTTACTTCTTATGAATTAAAAAAAAAACGCTCCAACGAAAATCGACCGCAGTTCCGAAACGAGTGCCCCGGCCCATGGGTCGTAGAGGAGTCGCCACCCCTGTAGTCCGAAACGGTGTGTGATGACGTAGACAAACACAAATGCATAGGAAGCTCTTACTGTAAAAGGGGATCCAGCAAGGGTGTTTTATGTAATGAACGCACCGGTACTGCCCACCGACAATAGGCCTTGAAGAACTGTTCCTCTAGTAAGTTTTTACCACTCTTTTTGGCTGTTTGGTAAATTTACCCCAATAGTAGAATTCCAGTAGCCTAAAGGTTTAGTTTTTTATTCATTTCACAGTATTATGCAACAATACACTGTTGCATGTTGAACATTAATAATCTTTCTGGTGATATTATCCTGAACTCGTTTATATCAATTTTAATTGCATAGGCCTACTTTATGTTTTCCATTTCACACGGCTATCAACAACACAGTATAGCTGTCATTAAAGATACACTTTGAGCTGATCATTTGTTGAACGAGTATGACTAGAGAGGAGATGAGATTTCCAGTTCAATGCTGTGTAATTTCCAGAATAAAAGAATCATTTGGCTCCATCCAGAAATAAATTTGGTTCTTGCATATCAATGGAAATATTTATACAGAGGCTTATTTGGTATGAAATAATTTATAAAGAAAGCCCTTAAGGTCGGTGCAATATTTATAACACAAGGGGTCAGTTAATGGAGATTCGTGAGAAAACATTTTTTGACATGAATGAACTACATATGGTGAAAACTTATGTTTGCTTGCTGAAATTTCATAGACCTGAAAATGGTAAAAATAAATAAAAACATGATTTGATAAACTGCGTCAGGTATTGTTGTTTCGGGCCGTGGGCAGGAGTTTGCATAGACTTAAACATAATTTTAAGGCTGAAAGATCTTTCAAATCAGAGGTTTTCTTCTTGTTTCATGCTCTGGGGCAGACCCATCACTGTGAATTCTGCAGTAACCACAAACCGCTAGTGTTTGAAAGTACATATATGCTAATTATAATATATTCTATATATATCACCAATTTAACAAAAAATATGGTTACAGAATCAGAATATACCCACATTATTTTAATAATCTGGATAATTTGAGAAACATAAAATAGCAGCAAACAGTCCGGCACAGAGACAGAGTACAGCTTGACCTCGATTAGTAAAGTTTACTGTAATTTCTAATAATGCAACGATATTATTTGAAGATATTGGTATGTATTTAAACCACTGCAGCGTTTGCCCGATGCACCCCAATGGAACTGGCATACGGTCAGCGCCGGATTAACCATTAAACAATATAAGCACGTGCTTAGGGCACCAAGCAAAGAGGGGCACCACAGAAATTTTAGAGCTGAATTTTATATAGTTTATCGGTATTTATTAAAATGTTACGAGTTCACCAGGAGAGTCAAACTTCAAAATGTTCGCTTATTTTTTGTCTTCACGTATCATATTAACCTTCTTTACTAAAAAGAAACACTGAAACTTATTTATTGGACACGAAATGGGCCTATGAGTCGTTTCCTTAAATTGTTGTTGTTGTTTTTTTCTTTCTAGTATCCACCTTGTTGCTGCATTTTTATTTTCAAAATTTTTTTATTCTCTTCAACAATTGGACCAATGAACTATTTACACTATGTGGCGGTTCCACGATCGCATTTCAACGATATATTGGTCAGCAAAGTCGGGAGTTTCTTGATAAGGTAGACCAGGGTGGTCCAAACTCTGTCATGCTGATACATTCCGTGCGGCTCACAGAACAATTTTAGCGTTTTTGAGTTTTTTTTTAGATATTCCAACTGGGGTTGGGATCCCGAAATTTAAACCCTTTTTCTAACGCTTTGTGCCTTTATTTTAGTAAAAACACTCCTCTGTTTACAAGCGTCGGCCATGTGACAGTAGTGACGAAACGCAGAGCCGACTTAACGCTGCGTAATCCAGTTTTAGGCCCCGAAATACCAACTGAGACGGACTTGGTTGGTATTTGACAATGTCACTAAGCTTGCTTACGCTGCAAGTTTTTAAACTACTCAATATAACAATTCGTAATAAAATGAGGTTCGCAAGAAAGGTGACATAAGAGAACACGGCGGAAATGTATTTCCTTGCCCATCACATAGTGTGAGTAATATCTGTCACGAAAGAATATAATTTGAAGCGACATTAAACGCGAGATGCGCAAAATACAACGGTAATTAACTTTAAAATAACCGAAGGCTTTATATATCTTCTTTAAAAGAACGCCACCCATGCAACATGATAATAGTCTGATTAGAACGGTGAACTCTCGTTGTTTATTAAATTTAAAGTAAGTAAACTCGCGATATTTTGATCACTTTTGGGTTTTCTCCGACTTGCGGCCCGCGAGAGCTCCTCAAAAGTTTTTGCGGTCCTTCAACATAGCAACCTTGAACCACTTTGAGGTAGACTACTAGGTACCGGTAAAACTCCAAACTACAGTTGTGACTTGTAT